ACACCCCCACCCCCCCCCCACTTGTCGAGTTTAGGACCACCCCTGGCCCGCGAGTCACAAAGTTTGCCCACGCCTGCTCTAAGGTTATGGTGAACCTTAGTTTGGTCTATCTGAGTGTAATATTTTTTTTATACATGCCTGTAATTAATCAGTGATATACAGTACAAATGAAAACAACTGTGAGTTTTGTTTTTTGTTTTTTTTTCAACATTAACACAGTACTAATACAAACATACAACAACAAAATATATCCCCTGCAAAACCAATACATGTTGGCATTTATCTCTTTTAATGGCTTTCGGTTCTCTTCTTATACGAAAGAGGTGAATACACGACAGGCTTTGAGTTCTTTGTTCCGGAGTCCATCTTGCGAAGCCCTTGCTTCCTTGCTCCTGTACAATTTTAGTAAATCCCGGCAGAAAAGCAACAGTCAGCGAAAATTGTTTTTGTTTTTATTGTTTTGTTTTTTCGGCCGCCTCTGTTTGACACCGTCGACTGCAGTGAGTTCAAACAGACCTGCTGGTGAACTGTGCAATAATCCTTTCTACCAAGCCTATGCAGCTCACACTCTTATGTCGAACAACAAACTGCAGCGGCAACAGGAGGAGGAACTGCACCAACGTGCCGTCGAGTCTTGCAGAACGCCTCCGAAGCACAGATATCCAACTACGGAGTCACCTGTTCAATCCAAGTGTCTGGGCACAACGGTGAGGATGATGTTTTCCTTTCGGGAAAACCGATAATAAAGGGAAGTAAAGATGAATAAAGACATAATCTTTAGAAAGTTCTTTTCAAACGTGATCCGATTTTTGTTGCCGTTCACGGCCCGTTCTCATTGTAATGGAGGGAGAGGGGTCGATCACGCTGCATGGTGGGCATGTAGGGCCAGTTGTAGCTAGATCCCGACAGCAACATGTCACGGAGCAGCGTCTCGATAGGCGTCTTGCCCACCAGGCGCACGAAAAAAAGCTGCTCGATGACCGGAGATGAGACGATGCGCAGGGATGGGAGGCGCAGAAGGAGGCGCCCGAAGCGATTTGGCTGGTTGGGGTACTGGTTTCGCACATACTCCTCCAGGGCACACTGAGACTTTTCCTGGATGCTCTCCACATGGGCGATATCTGACAATCCCATGGCGTCTGTGAGTGGGGAACGGAAATATGCGAATATGAGTTTCATAAGTCGACAGTGTGTTACAGAAAAGTTAGAAAACGTTGGTAAACGTAAGTGAAAATTGAAACTGGACTAACATGACTAACACGAGCAGAGTAAAATCATTTTTAGATTTTTATATATATATATATATTTATATGTACATACATCTGGATATATATACATAAATAATGTATAGACATTATATATGTATATATATATACATATATAATGTCTATACATTATTTATGTATATATATCCAGATGTATGTACATATAAATATATATATATATATAAAAATCTAAAAATGATTTTACTCTGCTCGTGTTAGTCATGTTAGTCCAGTTTCAATTTTCACTTACGTTTACCAACGTTTTCTAACTTTTCTGTAACACACTGTCGACTTATGAAACTCATATTCGCATATTTCCGTTCCCCACTCACAGACGCCATGGGATTGTCAGATATCGCCCATGTGGAGAGCATCCAGGAAAAGTCTCAGTGTGCCCTGGAGGAGTATGTGCGAAACCAGTACCCCAACCAGCCAAATCGCTTCGGGCGCCTCCTTCTGCGCCTCCCATCCCTGCGCATCGTCTCATCTCCGGTCATCGAGCAGCTTTTTTTCGTGCGCCTGGTGGGCAAGACGCCTATCGAGACGCTGCTCCGTGACATGTTGCTGTCGGGATCTAGCTACAACTGGCCCTACATGCCCACCATGCAGCGTGATCGACCCCTCTCCCTCCATTACAATGAGAACGGGCCGTGAACGGCAACAAAAATCGGATCACGTTTGATATATATATATATATATATATATATATATACATACATATATAAATATATGAAGCCCTACTCTACATATATATGTACTGTATACATGTATATATGTAAAAGAAAGTTGCGATGACGCAAGCAAATACCGCGGCCAGCGCGGGCTAGTCGGCTATCCGAAATGTTCTTTTTTGACTAGGCAAAATCTCTGCGATAGATTATGTTCATATACACATATTTACTTATTTTTTTTATGATTTCATTGGCATTATTTTTACCCTGCTTGAGAATGCCTGCTCCCAGTGGCAGCCACCGAGATGGCAGCCGGCCATGTCTAGGATTTCTTAGACCTTTGTTGTAGAGAGTGAAACTCAAGAATGTTGTCCTATTTTTGCACAAAGCAGTAGTTTCCCTGCTGATTGTTGGGTTTTTTTGTTTTTTTTCAATGGATGGAGTTCACATCGATTCAAGGGCCATTGTAATTCTATGTGTTGAGAATGTGTCAAATGTATTATTATGATTAGGTTATATTTATAAAACCTTAGGTTCATTCTTTTAACCTGAGAAGTAGAATAGACAAATGTGGTCGTCAGAAACTACTTCTTTACATCTTTGCTTGCACTCATCGCACACATGACGGCATGACCGAAATATTTTCACCCGTGCTTCACAGTGTGCTTAGTAGTACAGAGCAGATTTATGCAACTCTGGGAACACGTTATTTGCTCACAGAGTGTTGCTTCTGCCCTAACTGAACCCCCTACGTCCCACGTGTCAAACTCAAGGCCTGTGGGCCGACTGCAGCCCGCAAGAGGTTAAAAAGCATTTTATTACACAGCAATTAACGATTTTTGTAACTTAAATCAATAATAATCAGTTGCAGAAACATGTGTTAATACGTTAATAAAGAAAAACAACTGAAGAAAGTTGCTTTCGTGAGAAAACAAACTTTACCTGTGTTTAGATTCCTCCGGATTGTTTTACAATATACAAATACATGTATGTATATATATATATATATGTGTATACATATATGTATATATATATGTGTATACATATATGTATATATATATGTGTATATATGTATTCACATATATATATACATATATATGTATATATATATGTGAATACATATATACACATATATATATATACATATATATACGTATATATATATGTGTGTTTCGATTCCTCCGGATTGTTTTACAATATACAAATACATGTATATATATATATATATGTGTGTTTCGATATATATATATTGTTTTACAATATACAAATACATGTATGTATATATATATATGTGTATACATATATGTATATATATATGTGTATACATATATATATATATATAATATAAATATATAAAATAATTATTTTGTGAGCAAATATGTACCGAACCATGACGTCAATACCGAGGAACATGCCGAACTGTCACTTCACTGACTGAGACGCCTCAAGTAAAGTAAAGTGTTAAAAGTATAGTCTTTTAAACTCAAACACGGAGGTAAACATAGGGTAGCTAATATATATATGTGTATACATATAAACGGTTAGCTGTATATAACGGTTAACGTGACAATTTGGTCAATTCCTTCTCACTCAATATCAAGATCCAAACTGGTGGTTACACTCACCGGATGTGAATAGCACGATGGACTTGAGGCAGGAATACTCGGCTGTGTCGACTTGCAGCGCCTTCAACTTTTCCACTTGCTCTTGGAAGACGCGGATGTGATCCATGAACGCCACCACGCGCTCCGCGGACATGGGCGATGCGTGCAGGCCAGCCGCTGCCAACAGAGGAGCCACGTGCAGTGGCATGGAACACTGAGCTGCGTTGAGGACAAAGAGCTCGCTCCATGACATGCGCAGCAGCGCCACCTAGAATAGAAGTAAAAAAAAAAAAGTTTAGTTGACCATGTTGCAATCGGACTCTGCACTGGAATTATTTTATATTTAAGCGAAATATATTTCTAAGAGCGATGTTTGTGGTTGAGGTTGATGGGAAAAAAATGTGCTAATGTTAGCATTCAAGACAAGAAACAACAGTGATGAGCAGTAATATGGTCACTACACCATAGTGCTGTTGGAAAGATGCCAGAGATTATATTGCTAGGCAACAGAAAGACTTACAAGGTCTAGCACAGGCATGGGCAAACTAAGGCCCGGGGGCCGGATGCGGCCCGTTCAGCTTTTTAATATTTATTATATTATCATTACACTTCTGCCTTTTCCCTGCACGAACCCACGTTTCCCCAATAGATGGCGTAAAAAATACAAAAGTAAATGACATTATAAATCACATAAAAATGACTTGAAAATGACTTTTACATGTCATTTATCTTAGTTCACACCAGCGCTCCATCTATCTGCTCCTGACCCGGAGCATGTCAAAAATCTAGAGATAAAGTTTGACATGAGAGGCTGAAAGAGTTTGAACATATAAAATTTTTTTTTTTTTTTTTTTTTTTTTTTTTTTAAATCAGTTTTGCCAAACAAAGCCTACCTACATTTTAAACTTACCTGATCCATTAGCTGCAGGTCAGGGAAAAAAGGGATGTTCTTGGCCCATTCCACGGCACTGAACAGCAATCTGGCCGCCAGTTCACAGATGTTCTCGATGCCCATCACGTTGTTTCCCTGCATGCACTGGGCACCGTACCGTGACGTTGGGTAGGGTTCGGCACGCAGTAGAAGAGAAATGAACCCAGAGAGGTAGGGTTGGCTGTTGTATGGATCGGTGCCATTTGTCAGGTATTGGCCTGGGCTGCTCTGAGAGTTTGATGTCCGTCCTCTCTGTACAGCTGCAAAGATGACAGAGAGAAATGAGAGTTAGACCAGGTTTTTTTTTTTAACTCTACATGCTATACTTTTTTTAAATTCTATACAGTGATCCCTCTCCTATCGAAAAATGGGAAAACTCACAAAGTAGAGGCAGGATAGTTATCATATTATTATAAATAATAAAATAAATAATAATATTATTATTATATATTTACCCTTTTACAAACCTCCCCCCACACTGTTATCAACCCCTCCCTAGACTGTATTACCCTTTCCCACGCAATTATACGCACAGTACAGTTGGAGAATAGCGACGTGAACGACGTGAACTAGAGTGGCCGACAGACAAGGGGAGACGCTGAGAGACGCTACGATGCATGAGCCAATCGGAAGTGAGGAACAGAAGAGCATGCTCGATCAGCCAATAGAACACCGCATTGTATTCGTATCGCCAATAGCGTGCCGTGTACGATCTCGATCTCTAGGTATACAAAGCTAACAGCAATCATTCGCAAATGCGCTTATCTCAATTTCAAAAAAAGAATATACATAGGTATAGCGGAAATTTCGCGAGATCGGGTTTTTTAAAAAAAAAAAAATAAATGGGAAAAGGGGAAATTTCGGGGGTTGGGTTTTTTTAAAAAAAAAAAAATAAATGGGAAAAGGGGAAATTTCGGGGGATCGGGTTTTTTAAAAAAAAAAAAATAAATGGGAAAAGGGGAAATTTCGGGGGTTGGGTTTTTTTAAAAAAAAAAAAATAAATGGGAAAAGGGGAAATTTCGGGGGTTGGGTTTTTTTAAAAAAAAAAAAATAAATGGGAAAAGGGGAAATTTCGGGGGATCGGGTTTTTTAAAAAAAAAAAAAATCCATGATGTATATATATATATATACATATACATATACCTATATATGTATATATATATATATATAAATATATAAAATATATATATATATACATATATATACATATATAGGTATATGTATATATGTATATATATGTATATATATGTATATATATATTTATATATATATATATGTTGGGGGCACATAGACGTACACATGGAGTAATGATGACGTGGTGTGTCAACGGGTACTTAAAGGACCATGTGGAAAACGCCTGTACCGTTGTCCCCGACACTCTTTTACCTCATCTACCGTTACACAAGGGATGATGATGACCTGAAAAGTCTATAGATGTCAGTTATTTGTGACAGGAAAGTTTTGCTGAGGAATAGCCATCAACTTGAAATAATTTGAAAAGTTCCGTTTTCCCGTAGCCCACAATAATGGCCATATTCAACCAGTGTAGAGGAATCAGTTGCTTTAGTAGGGTGAATTTGTACCTGGAGACTCAAGTAAAGGGACGATTGGAGAGAGAGAGAGAGAGAGAGAACTGCTTGACAGGAAGCAACAGGTGGTTGGAGGACGTGTAGAAAAAGAAAAAAAAAAACAGCATGTGGTAGGGTTTGGAAAAATGCTCCGGGCATTGCATCACCTGTCGGTCTGACCACAGCAGCTGTGTCAATTGAACGCAACACGGCACATGGTCTGAAAAAACAAGAGGTCAAATAACTCTAGACCGTGACAAAAATACCTCTAATAATAGCTTTTGGTCACAAAAGCCCTTTGAGCACCTTAAACAGTTTCATTTTCTTGGGAACGTTTGTTAATGCTGAGTGGAGGCTACCGCCTGCATTAGAAGTCTTGCTGACCAGCAGGAAAACAGCGCTCATCGACCGGCCGGCCGGTGACCAGAAACAGATGGTTAACGGAGTCAGGATGGCTGAGCGGTCTGAGCGGCACCGCGTTCAGATCGCAGTCTACCCGGGAGGCGCGGGTTCTTATCCCGCTTCTGTAGTACATATTCGTGGTGCCATAGTGTAGCAGTTAGCCAACCTGAGTCCTAGGTTCGATTCCCAGAGAAACCACACACTTGGTGTCTCCAAGGAGAGCAGGCCTGTTGCAGCAGATCGGCTATTAACGCAAAACACATTTCCCCCGGAGTGGTTATGAAATATAACATGTATATTTTTTTACTACGGTATGAGTTGCTGCCACCTAGTGACTGGAGGCTTGTTATCATTCAAGCATTACTGCAATAGTACTCTTATGTCCAGTCCATGCCATATTACATTGCAGTCCTGATGTCCAGCGTGCCATATTACATTGCAGTCCCTCTTGGTATCTCAACGCGCCCCCCCCCAGGGGTCCCCGCCCCACTGTTTGAGAAGTATTGGTTTAGTGGTTGAATCACAGTCAGGTCATTGTTGATTATGTCATCTTCAGCCCATTATGTTGTTTGCTGACGTAACTGTCAGTTAAGTGAGTGAGTGAGTGAGTGTGTTTAGACCAGTGCTTCCCAAATAGTGGGGCGAGCCCCCCTGAGGGGGGGGGCGCAGTCAGGTTTCACAGGGGGCGCAAGAGGGGACTTTCAGTATACTGCTTGAACGATAAACAAGGAAAAAGTTGTTGCAAATGTTGCTAATTTTAATAATCTATTTTTTTGATCAATTATTTTGTTTAATTTCAGAAAGCACTTAAAAAATGTTTCTCTTCAAAGAACATCTTTACTTTTAGCATTTTCTACGCCATCTATTGGGGAAACGTGGGTATTGCAGCGAGAAGGTAGAAGCATAATGATAATATAAATAAATTCAACAATTTGTAAAAGTTTGGCGGGCCGGATTAAAAAGCCGAACGGGCCACATCCGGCCCCCGGGCCTTAGTTTGCCAATGCCTGCACTAACATGCACCTCTTCTTACTCTATGATCTACTAGTACTATAGTGTACTATAGTCTGTACTGTACTCTACTATCCTTTTTCTATGTATTATTTATTATTATTTATTCCAACGTATTATTATTTATGTATTTTATTTTATGTTTACTGTATCTTGATTGTTGATTGACTGACCCAATAGTATTTCAGTTAGGGGCGGAGGCATGGTACAAAAAAAAAAAAAAATTGAATATCGCTGATTTCGACTGCAGTGTGAAGTGACCCTGGAACAGCAACTCCGTAGAAATGTTGTCCGTTTATTTTTTTTGTTATTACACCCGGGATCAATGATCACTCGCTTTAAAGCAATTCAGGCGTTCACAATAATGCAACAGGAAGGTCGACTGTAGGGGGAGCCGGCGCTTAGTTGTCAACAACAAATTCAAGCTGACACTTAAACACGATCATTCATGCATGTACGCACACTCCCTGCTTTCCCAAAGGCTTATGGGTGTTTTCTGACCTAGGTGTTTTAAGTACGTCAGAACGGAGCCAAGAGGGCAGAAGTTTAAACACACACAGTGTCTGAATTAATACAGAAACAGAAAAAAAAGCAGCAGTACTACCAGCATGTACTATGTTTACTCTTTGCCCTGGGCTTAGATTGAGTTACTGACTAGTGTTTATTAAATATAGTAGAATTTTGAATGAATTTTATTATATCTTTCAGTATGTTGTGACAGTGCAGTAAAACATGAACAAATTTTGGTATGAATAACTTGTTCCTTCTGGTTTAATTTGTCATTGCAACTACTTCAACAAGTTTTTATCTATTACTTATACCTGGATTAGAGTTATGTTTTAACACGTTTTTTTATTTTTATATTTTACTAATATGGATTGTATTCTTTATTTAATGCGGTGTTTTCGAAAGATTGCGTGAGTTTTAAGTGTTTATTTTTATTGCAATATTTAAATTTCATATTTATTTTAGAGGAAGTTCAACAGTAAGGTATTAAGAAAATTGTAAGAAAAAATTACAAGAAAAAAAAAACATTGACCAAAACAATCATAATTATAATTTTTTTTCCAAGACCATCAGCCCAATTTGTTGTTAAAAATAAACAACAACAACAACAACAAAAAAACTTAATTTTGTAATTATTGCAGTTAAGGTCATGTTCTATGTTCGTTCAGTACTCGATTCCAGACCCAGCATTTTATTTTGAAGGTTTTTGAACTGAAGAAAGAACTTGTGACAGTGGTTTACGCTGAAGAATCTGCAAAAATCAGTGTCGGCGAGTAAGCAAAAAAATTAGAAATTGGTCCCAAAAAATTGCTATTGGACCATCTCAACTAAAATTACGTACCTGCTCGTACTTGCGTATAAAATACATTATGTAATGCCTCCAAAATACACAGTGGGGGGGATATTTATTATTATTTATTCATATTTAGTGAAATTTAATTTTACAACAAAAAATATCCTGAACATTATTTTTTTCAAAATTAATCAAGCGAGTCGGATTGAACACTCTCGTGTGCCGGTTTTGGCCTGCGGGCCACATGTTTGACAGACCCTGCCGTAGATGGTAGGTACAGGGATCTGATTCCCGTACGTAGATTAATTAAGAGATTAAACCTTAATGTGTCTTCTCTAATGATCACTTTAAGGCCAAGTAAATGAGAGTCATTTAAAATCGTCACCATGTACTGGCATTTTAAACAACTTCGAAAAAACAAAACTGCCTTCTGTTCTACTGGTAACCTTTGGTTCAACGTTATTGATTTGAAAAAAAAAAAAAAACACAGCTACTAATCTGCTCTCACTTCAATTAATGGTTAATCCTTCAGATGGCGATGAATGTACTTGATCCCCTTGACTTTTGGAAACGACTCGTTGTGTGAGGCCACTCGTGGCTGAGAGGCCGAGAGCACTTGAGTGAGTTTGAATGGCTCTCTCTGTTATTCCATGCCAATAGCTCAGACGGTGACAATGAGAGATAAAATGGAAGAAAGATATAACATAGAGAGGAGAAAGAAAAAGAAAAGTAGGAAGTGATAATGAATAACAATGTCCAGCGCCACATAGGTCAAAAAAAAATTTTTTTTTAAATCACAACAATATCCTTGAGGGAAAAGAGACTGAAATTGGAGAAGACAAAGTGACAAAAAAAGAAAATTAGAGCTTTGAAATTAGATTCAGTGCAGTATCGAATCCTTCATTTTTTTTTTAAGGCTTGAATGATAACAAGCCTCCAGTCACTAGGTGGCAGCACCTCATACAGTGGTTTGTACAGATAAAAAATATACATGTTAGCAGGTTCTCAATAGTATTTCAATTCGCTGCGGTGTGAGTCGGATAGGGCGCGAAGGGCGTGAAAACATTTCTGTCCCTAAGACATGACAGAAAATAATCACGAACTTAAACCTAATTTGATGGAAGCCATTTTTTTTCCCCAAATCTTCAAATAAGAACATCATCAAATGTCTTTCAAATATTATTTACGCATACACATTCGAACAAAATGTAAATTAATTTTTTTTTTTTTAATTTTAAAATAAATAATTATTATAAAATATAACAAGAATTGATGACCTTTAAATGTAGGATCACCTAGAACTTCAAGCTAAGAAAAAAAAAACCCAAAGGAATCAATAAATACGTTGTAGAATCTATGCAGTGTGCCTACGGCAGTGTGATGTGCTGCTACTCGTGTTTTTTTTTGTTTTTTTTAATTCAGTTCAGAGGGCAGTGTATGATTATATAGATCCATCACATAGTTTTAATTTGGCCCTGAACTTTGACCTGCAGGTCAATGCTCTACAGCAGATAGGAGTAAGCTATGGCTAATGTGTAATCCAGCCAGAAGAATGATAGAGGGAAAGA